CCCCCCGCCCCAAAAGAAAAAAAATTGCACGTTCATTAGGCTGTGTCTCCCACGGAGTATTCTAAGGGTTACTCGTCACTTCTGGGGAGTAATCTTTTACTCCTAACTTGGTTATTCGCCTTTATAAACGAGATGCAAGTAAAACCATTACTGATAGAAGTGCATGTATTTTCTGATAGTACAAACATTTTCCTGCGTTTGTCATAAGGGCTTGGCGATATCAAAAAAGTCGAATAAGAATTCATTTTAGACGGACATACACGTCAGTAACTCCAGTGAATTATCTACACTTTGTTCATTAAGACTGGTGTGTAAAGATGAAATTATTTTCCTTATACCTGAGTTCGTAATGTGTATAAGAAAACTCATAGATTTATTTTTGCTCCCTAATAAAAACGAGAAACGAAATATAATCATAGATTGATGTGCACTGACCATTTATGTCGAATAAGCAAGCTAGAATATCTATGTATGTACAGATGAAATTACGGTTTTAAAAAGTTGACACATTCAGTCTCTATTACATAATTTCATAATGTGTAAAAAGCAATTCACAGATTAATGTTTACTCTCCAAAAATAAAGAAAGACAAAAATGAATGTATCCATAGGTTGGTTTTTAATAACTAATAAACATTTTAAAAGGTCAATAATATTGTCTCGCAAATGATAACATACAAGACTAGCTTGCTCATTACATCTTGGTGACATTCACGAAGAACAAATAAGGCGTGACATTCGCGGAACATATAAGACCAGCTTGCTCATTACATCTTGGAGATATTCACACAGATAATAAACAAGCAAGACAAGCTTGCTCGTTACATAGTGATGACATTCACATACCACAAATAAACAAGACACACTTGCTCATTACATCTTGGTGACATTTACACAGATAATAAACAAACAAGACAAGCTTGCTCGTTACATTGTGAAGAAATTCACATATCACAAATAAACAAGACAAACTTACTCATTACATCTTGGTGACATTTATAGATTAAAAAACAAATACAAGGCAACCTCGCTCATTACATTTTGTTAAAATTCACACAGAAACAAGACAAGGTTGCTCATTACATCTTGGTCACATTCACACAGATAACAAAACAAGGAAAGCTCACTCATTACATTCACGGAACACAAATAAGACAAGCTTGCTTATTACATCTTTGTGATACATGTATTCACATATCACAAATAAACAAGATAAACTTGCTCATTACATCTTGTAGACATTCACTGATGGCGGGGTCATGACCGACAGCTGTTTCCTGGCCTTCTTTTTCCTTTCTTTCCTGTCCTGGTACTTAGTGACCAGGTACATGGTGCAGACCACCAGGAAGGCACCGCCGTACGCAGACGTGTCCATTCCCGTCAGGATATATCTGTAGAGAGATGATGGTGATGATGATGATTTTATTTTGTTTCCTTAATGGGCCTGGCGGACTCCACGAAGAAATCTTCGAGAGAGAGAGCGAGGGTCTTTTTCGGCTCCATTGTCAATATGCTTAGCTGTACCTCCACTCGTCCAAATAACTCCATTCGAATTGCCATTGTTCCTGTACATTCAAACATGTGTTTGACATCCTCCTTTTCATGGCCGCTTCTTCGGCAACATGGGCTGAGCTCTTCATTTACAAAGTTCTTATACCATCTTAAATTGGCGAGTAGAGGTGCCCCTTTGCTGTAATTTTGATGATGATGATGATGATGATGATGATGATGATGATGATGATGATGATGATGAT